AAGGAGAGGGAGAAGGAGGTGGGGCGAGCCTGGGGTTCAGCTGAGAGGAAGGGGATGGGGCAAAACTCTCTGAGGGAGGGAGGAAGAGGAGGGCAGGGGAATCGGAGCCCCCTAAGCTCCCTTTGGGGAAGGGACCTGCTGGGAGAGACACTAGGCTGGGTGGTGGCGGCGGCGATGAGGATGATGATGGTGGGAGGGTCAGAGGCAGGGGTGAAGAAGCCAAGACATAGGAAAATAGAGGAGAGCGTTTATAGAGGGTGGGAAGGGGTCCAGAGGATTGGGAATGATACTCGGGAGGGAGGCTGGTTATTCAGGGCCCTCTTTTGTTGGAAAAAAAAAGTCAAGTGTTAACGGGGAAGCAGCAGCAGCAGGCCCTGGAAAACATGGATAGTTGATGGGTTTTTTTTCCATCTTTGTGCTTAAATAAGCCTGCATGTTTGAGAGCTTGTGAGGATTTTAAAGGGGCAGAAGAACCACAGATGGGGCTGTTGCTGAAGCCCACCCGTGGCCCAGGCAAGGGCTGGTAGTGGTCTGGTCGCCCAGATCTTTCTCTCACGCTCCCATCAGTGTCTGCATCCTCCCAAGAGCGGTGTTGTGCAAGTGGGCATTGGGCTGACGTCCGTCAGCTGGCATGGCCAGCAGAGGTGCTGGATGGGAGCTTTGTCTGGCGGAGCAGACGGGTGGGAGAGCCTGCTGCGAGACGGGTGGCATTATCGGGCGTCTTTCTCAGTGGCTTGAGCCCCAGTAGGTGCCAGGGGGGTCAGAAAAATGGGGCTGGAAGTTCCTTCTGTAGAAAAGAAATACTAGTGGAGAGCGGTTGCTGCTTCTTTGTCCGTTGGTAGAAATTCCAGGCAATAGATTTCAAGTGTCTGCAATCTTCGAAGGGGGACTTGGGGAAGTTATAAAAACAGAGATTGCATTCTACAGTGGGCTGTTGGCAAGAGGAGTCTGTTTTGATCGTTGTACTTCTTCTGAGATGCAAGTGCTGTTGCGTTTAGACTTAGCAGTTCTGACAGATCTCCTGGCACAGTGTGTGGTGTCCTCACCGCTTGGCACATGTGTATACAGAGCGAAGCCAATGCTGGAGTTGTCCAGTGACGCTCAGCTGCAAAGATTCCAAATGAATATTGGTGCTACGGCTCAGTCAGAATGCTTACACCATTTCCCCCCTGTGGTCAGTGCAAATTTGCTGTGCAGCGGATGGATCCGGCTGTAGTAGTAAACTTAATAATTGAACAATTATTGAATGTCCCTCTTGGTTTCTGTCCTAGTGATCTTTCCCTCCCATTTGATCCGTAACTTTATGGGCCGTGTTTCTATCCAGCGTCTCTGGATTGTGACACCAGGGGGAGACGTAACTTCCTTTCTTCCTTCCAGCTAGGAGCTTGCCTGCCTGGCTTATTCTGATACTCGGCTTGTTTGTATTGATATCGTACTTATGCAAGTGCTGCGCTGAT